AGCATGCTCTCATCCAGTGAGCAGACCTGACATCAAACCAGAACAGGCACATTCAAGCTTTTCTGCATTGAAGAAGCAGCAGAGAGGTTCCAATACCTCTCAGTTTTAGGTAGGAGAAATAAAAATGGAAAGAGCTAACATTTATAGAAATCTTCCTGAGTCTCATGCAGTTCAGCACGTCAACCTTCGCTTAAAAAGATGTGATTTGCTGGGTGGTGGCGGCGCATGCCTTTAATCCTAGCACTCCACAGGCAGAGGCAAGTAGATCTCTGTGAATTCAAGGCCAACCTGGTCTACAAGGTGAGTTCCAGGATAGCCAGGGCTACACAGAGAAACCCTGTCTTGAGGGAAAAAACACAATTCAGTAGATACTATAACTTTTATGTAACAAGATGGACATAAAAACAAACAGCTAATATCCTAGAGTGGGCATGGCCCTTTGATACCTTTTATTCTTATCTGATTATAAGCCTGGTAAAAGTCATTCTATACAGGTAACTTATCTTTCACTGTACCAAATACCTGACAAGAAGTAATTTAAGGCAGGAAGGATTTATTTGGGCTTGCAGTTTGAGGGAACACAGTTCCACTATGGTAGGGAATGGTAGTGGGCAGGCTGGTGGTAATGGGAGCACCAGGCATCTTATTCACATCTTAGTGGATCAGGAAGCCGAGAGCTTGGCTGTAACCAACTAGTTCTGCCCTTAGAGCCCTGGGTCTTCCAGTTAGGCTCCAGATTCAAGAGGTTCCACAATCTTCCAAAATAGCACCGTGAGCTGGGAATCAATCATGTGTTCAAACCTGTAAGCCTGCAGGAGACACTTGACATTCAGACCATCATGCCCCACCTCTAGTCTCCATTAGGTGCCTTTTCAAAATGCTAAATGCATTCAGTATAACCTATAATTATACTGAAAAGTCACCATAGTCTTATGGTTTCACAACACTGTTCAAAATTCCAAATTCCCAAGTCTCTTCTGAGATTCAAGACAGCCTCTTAATTGTGAACCCCTGTAAGATCCAAAGACAAGTTTTGTATTTTGGGTATTAAATGGTACTGAGTAAAATGGAGTTTCAAAGTGGAGGAATAGGAGGATGGCAAGGAAGGATTGGACCAAAGCAAAACTGAATCTCAAAAAGGCAAATATCAACCCTTGTACCTTCACATCTCACATCCAGATGATGTGATGTCACCACTCACGGTGACGTCACAACTGTTGTATTTGAAGTGAAGTCATAAGAATGCCATACTCTAATGCTATATTGCTTTGAAACCAGGATCCATTACTTCTGAATTCAGTCTCACACAAAACTTTAGAATCTGTGTAGGATGGATGTTTTGACAGATGTAACATGATGGCTTCTAGTCCAGGTCCCAACAGGGTCCTTGATCACTTCTACAGCTCCAAGATCTGGACCTCTGTTGTCTGTCCCTCAATAGGCATTTTGTTCTTCCAAACTTTAACTGTAGCAGCTCACAAGGTTCTACTTATAGCCTTCTAAGACTTCTCTAGCCTACACCTCCAAACTCTTCCATATTCTTTCTTTAACTAGGTCTTAAGATCCGATAACCACAAAGTCAGAGCAATGGCATCACTTCTCAGTACCAATTCTCTATATTGGCTATTTTTCTCATTGCTGTGATCAAACACCCTACAGGAAACAACCCAAATGAGAATGTATTTATTCTAGTCCATGGTTTGAGGGGATATGGTTCAGCACAGCTGGGAAAAGTTGATCAGGAAGCTTGAAGGTGGTGGGAGTGTCAGGGAATTTGCTCACATCTCAGCAGATCAGCAGAAGGCATAGAGATTGGGTCGGAACCAGGCTGGGCTTTATAATCATCTACCCTCCCTGCCCTGGCCTTGTATCTGCCAACTGGGCAGATAACAAAAGGTTCGGCAACCTTTGAAGACACCACCAGCAACGGGGGATCAGGTAGATGAGCGTGTGACACTTCACATTCAAACCATAACACATTCCTTTTGCAATGCGTCTTCTGTGAAAATGAGACCAGCACACAGAGACAACCACCAGCTCCCAAGAACAGCAAGCACCACACTCTGGAATCGAGGCCCTTCATGGGATGCTCAGACTTGGGCAAGCCTTTGAGGCAGCTTCTGCTCTGGCTCTCCAGCCTTTTTGTTGTCCCTCATAGGTCTGAATGCTGCCTCTAACACAGTTTCCCTCTGAGAGTCTTTCCGCCTCCATCTTCCCTCCTGCTGCTGCTTCTCAGGGAGCCCTGCGCCTTGGCGTGTCTCAGTCTCCAAGGGCATGGGAGGTTGTATGTCCTTTTGTTTGGCAAACAGCTATGGATGGAATATGGATGTGACTTGCAGAATGCCTTCAGGTGGGGGGTAGGGGAGCCATGGAGCACCCCAGCCAAGCCTTCCCAGCCTGGGCAAAGCAGTACCAGACAGCTGTCACTACTTGCGCTCCATCCAGGTAGGTGGCTAGGGTGGCAGGGAGAGAGACCAGTGCCCCCAGTGTCCTGGCTCTTGATGGTGACACCTGGCTCTCTATTTCCCCATGTCCTCCTGGCTTTTTTGCAGGAAGAGGCAACAAACTAAGGAGTTAGGAACTTGGGGCCTAGGGCTCTGTTCCGTGGGGCCGAGTGCGTCAGAGTTCGGACCCCGGGGTTCTGTGCTGCAGAATAAAGTGTGGGACATAAGATATTTGTGGGGGTGGCATCATGCTTCTGCTCTGTACTTCACTTTTCTCCCCATACCCAGGACACCAGCAGGAAAGCCCTGGTCTTCTTATTGCCTTTTCACATTCCTCTCTCATCCCTCCCTATCAATGTCCAGGTATGTAAGTTCCTTGAGCCCGCGAGCTCATGCTTGTTCCCACATACAAATACAGAATGCCTAGTCCAGGTCCATTCTAAACATAGAGTAGGCATTCAGTGTTTGTTGAGTGAATAATAATAGTCATCTTGTTCTCCTTTGAAGCCCCAGCACTGCCCTCAAGCCCAGGGGCAGCTCTGAGACTCTCTGGCAGGATAATAAAGCATGCACCCTGCATTTAGGGCAGATGATTCTGTTTTAAACCAGTTACCGACCAGTAAATGCACCAAGGAATGGGAAAGATGACAGATTCAAGGAATGGGAAAGATGACAGATTTCACGTCTCAGAGGGACTTGTGAGACCATGCAGCCCAAATTTCACATCTCCCAGATAAGGAAACAGGACTTAAGCAGATACATTTCCCATGCTACTTAGCACCCAGGAGCAGAGACAGACGAATCTTAAAATCTACCCATCAGCTACCTCTCACTAGAAATGCTAACTGATGTGGGTCCAGCTCAAGCACGGGTACCTCAGATGCCAGATTAATTCCTAGCCTGGCCTTCTCCAGCATGGGCCATAGCAGCAGGCCCAGGTCTGACGCTCTTATCCCCCAGTGACTCACCCAATCCCTACCATGCCAGGTCTCCTGGGAAGGGTGACAATTAGTTTTCACTGCATTGTTCAGCACAAAGCCTGTGTCCTGTAGAGCAAATGTGGGCTTGGTACTAGAATGCTGGCCCAGTCCCATGGGATGGGGGTGGTGGAAGAAAACAGACATAGGGGAGCAGGGTCACTCTTGTCCCTGCCCCCCAGAGGACAGAGACAAATCAGAGTCACCTTGGGAGTGTGGGTCAGCTGGTCAGAAGGAACTTAGTGGAAAGGAAAGAGACAGAAGGCCAAAGATAGGACATGGGGTGGGGAGGGTGGAGAATGTGGTCTTTCTCCTCCTCCTTTATTGTTTCCTGGGTATCATTTCAGGGCATGCCACCTACAAGGGCTGGCAGGAGAGGGAAAGGAGGAGCTGAAGGAGAAGAAGGGAAGAGTGTAAATGGGAATGGCTGGAGTTTATCAGTTCTCACTACTCTTTTTAGTGTGCAGTTCTAGGTCCTGGCTCCAGTTTCCAGAGAGGCAGGGGGAGGGCATTAGTTCTGCCTAACCAATGCCATCCAGGGAGGCTGAGATCCTTCAGACGGGGCTCAGTCCTTGCTGCCCTACCTGCACTGAGATGACACTCCCCCGTCCACCATCAGTGACTTCAGAGTGTGCAAGAAGCTGCCGTCTGGGTCTCTAAGTTCTCCCAGACCATGAAGTGTGCCAGGATGCCCAGCCTCATCCTCAGGGAGCAACCAGTCCGTCTGCATAGCCAAATCCCCCGCCCTCTCACTAGGTGGGCCACAGAGAGTATGCCATGTCTACCATGCCAGAGTGCCATGACTGCTCCATGAACAGACTCATCCATCCAGCACTGGCCAGAATCAAGGGTCACAGTGACCCTTGGCCCTCTCTCTGTAGCCCTTACAGGAACAAGAACAAGGAGGACAGGCTTTCCCAGGGGTCTGGAGTAGAACTTAGGGACCCTCTTCACCTATCCCCGGGGAGAGGAGGCTCCAGGGCTCTGTTCTTCAGCCAGAGGAGTACCACCCCTGTCCTCCGGAGGTGGAGCTGCTGCTGACCAGTGCAAAGCCCGGGTTAGCTAAGGCAATCCCCATCGCCCTCACCCCAGCCATTTACTGCAGTTGGAGGCATAGGCTCTTCGGTGGCGAGTTTGTTGGTTAATTCATGTTTATGGACTCTTAGTATTTCCCTGTTTTAATGACACTCATCACAGCCTTGTTTTCTCCATGTTTTGCCTCTACCAATATGAAAATGAGCCCTGGCACGGGGGTGTCCCGGGGCTGCTGGGACAGGTGCAGAGAGAAGGTAGGCTGAGGAGTTGTCCCCCAGAAATGGGCACGAGCTGTCCAATTCATTAATTATTATTTATCTCTCCCTCCCTGCCCCTGTTTCTCATGCCCCAGGGTGTCCCCGGAGCATCCAAAGGCTCCAGGCTCATCCGACCACCAAATGAATGACTGTACCTAGAGCCACTCGGCTGGCTATAGGAATCTGGCTGTAGCAAGGATTCCCACCTCCCAAGAAATAATGAGAATGCTTGGGTCCAGGGCATGTATGAAGGGAGGGAGAGCAGGGGCTGTATCACGGGCACTCACTCCAGCACGTCGCGGTTGAACGGCTTCTTGCTATTGCCCAGGAACTCTCCTATCATCTGGCGGCTGAGGCCTTTCCGCTGGAGGAGGAAGTGGGCCACACCGATGGGGGTGTCAGGGATGAAGCCACGTGAGATCAGGAACTGGATGCCCTTGTCCGGGTTTCTGTAGAGGGGTTGGAGTGGGGAGGAGAGAGGAAGCCAAGGCTGTTTGGGACTGTCCTGACCTCTACAAACCCCGGGAAATCTACTTTCCAGGGACCACCGGGGCTCCCCATGGGAGCAACTGTCACCTGAACATCACAGGGGAGGGGAAGGTATGGGCCTTGGAGCAAGAAGAGGTCTGACGCAAGAAGAGCCCAGAGCAAGTAGAGAGACTCCCTTCTCTGTTCCTGCCCTAAGGCTCTGAGCAGCCCTGAACCCGCCCCCCTCCGTGGGGGGGTGCTGAGGAGGCACGTCCTCCAGCCTGCACCTCAGCTGCTCCTGGAGCTGGAGCTCGCTGGCTCTGAGGACATAAATAAGCACTGGAAACCTTTCCTCAACTGTTTGACATTTTCAGGACATCAAGCCTGTGACTGCTTTCCTACCAATTCATTTGTATTGTGTTTCGCAAAGGTACCAGCCCACATATAGGGGGAGGGAATCAAGCTGGTTCTTCACTAGAGATAGCCTGGGGATCACAGCTTGAAGGATGAGAATATCTGATTTCATGTGCTCGCAGAAGGAGATGGGGTCATGATGGTGTGTTATGGTGGGGCAGCCTGATCTGCAAAAAGATGCATGGCTCTGGTCTCACCTAGGTTTACCTCTTGCTAGTGGTTGAAGTGTACAATCTTCCTCCCTCCTGTGAGCCTGTTTGCTATTCTGTGAAATAGGAGGATGGTCCCCATCTCCAGATACCATTGGGAGGCTTGCAAGTGAGCTACCAGGCTGACCCGGAGCATCTTGAGGCCAGGGGCCATGTCTCACTCATCTGTCTGGTACAGGCCTGGGACGCAATAAATAATAATTGTATGAATAAATGAGTGCAGGAAAGGACTCATGCTCTGAGCTGGGAGCTACAAGGGAATGGATGGGAGAGGGATAATGAGTGTCTCATGGACTTTATGCCTCACAGGGAGGGAGGGAGGTGTCTACTTGCTCTGTGTCACTGGGCATGTGTTCCTGTTGCACAGTCTTGTTTGGGTCTCTGAGATACGGCAGTCATAAATCTTTCTCCTTCCACTCCCTAATTCCTTTTCTATCCCACTTGGTTCTCTGTACTTCTTCCTGTCTGTCTCTCCTCTTACCTACCCCTCTATCTCATTAAAATTATTTTAAGATAAATTGTTATTGTGGGGAGAGGGAATGGCCTTCACAGGAGATCAGAGGACAGCTCTGGGGAGTCTCCTTTCTCCTTCCACCTTTTTGGTTGTTCTGGGGGACAGAACTCAGGTTGCCAGGTTTGCGCAGACGGAGCCCTCTCAGCAGGGACTCCATCTCATTTTTACACGGTCTTCCCTCTCTCCACCATGTCCTCATTTTGTGATCCCCGTGAAATAACACCGTTTTCCTAACTTCATTTTTATCCTCAATGATTCCTGCTCGGTCTTCATATTGCCTGTGCTCAACTCTGTATTTTCTCACTTTCCAAACCACCACTTCATCTTAAAAAAAAAAAAAATATTGTGAAAAACCTATGCTTGATGTGTTGGTCATCAGGAAAAATAAAATGTGTACTTCTTAAACATTCCCTGGGAGCTCGGGCGAGGGGTATCAGGCCAGGCACAAACTGCTTGGGAAGACCCTGGGAAGATGCTGTCAGGACTCGATATGCTGCAGGTTCCCTCTTGGTCCCTCCCTCCAGTCCTTCCCAGGAATCCAAGCTCACTCACATGTTGAAGAGGTTGAGGCCGATGCGGTACAGCCGCTTGCGCAAGGTGTCGGTGGAGAGCGTGGGGGACCTGCAGCTGGCTGGGTTCTCGCAGTGATAGCGCGGCAAGCTTAGGATCACCGCCTGCAGGGCCTCCTTCGAGGCAGCGGCCGAAACCTCTGAGCCAGATTTGGCGGACTTGGTGGATGCGCTGCTGCTGCTCAGCTGCTCAGAGTTGTCGCCTGCCTCGGCCCCTTTCCCTGACTGCCCCCTCTCTTCCGCTTCCTCCTCTGCCTCCACCGCCACCGCCTCCTCAACCACGGCCTCGGCAACCACCGGTCCATGTGCGCCCTGGGCGCGACTCTCTGCCGCATCTGAGTTCTCACCCGGGGGTTCCGCCTGTTCCGAGGCTGGGGCTTCCGAGATCTCCTGAGCCGTCGCGGCATCCCCCTGCTCGGTTTGGCCCTCCTCTGGCTCAGCTGTGGCCTGGTTGGTCTGTGCGCCCAGACAGTTGGCCACAGACAGGGCGGTGGAGGAGGAAACAGAGATGTTCTGGTTAGCGATCTGCACTGTGACATCCCTGAAGGCCATCATGAGGGTACCGCTGTGACCCTGTGACAGGCCACCGGCCTCATCTCCAGACGCTGGGCCACTCTCGGGCTCCCGCGCCTCGGCCTCTAGACCTTGCTGTCCCGCACTCGAGTGCAGGGTCTGGTGGAGCTGGTATGCGCCACTCTCCTGCAGTGAGCACATGGTCTTGAGGCTCCAGGTGCTGAGGGCGTCGTCGATGGACTTGGCCAGGGACTGCACTTGCTCGGTGAAGGAGTCCTCTAGCTCGGTGAGCGAGCCTGCGAAGGTGGGTGGCAGGGAGGGCGAGCGCCCCAGCGGCAGCCCCAGGAGCCCGCAGCCCTCCAGGAGCGCCTTCTCCGCCACCAGGCTCTCGGCTGTGGGCGCCCGCACTTTGCGCAGCGAGATCCGCCGGGGAAGGCGGCTTTCCAGGAGCGAGTTACGGATCTTCTCAAAGTTCTTGCTGAGCTGGTACTGGCGGAAAGCGGTTTGGATGGTGCACGCGGCGCGTCGGGATACCAGGTGGCCCCCGTATTTGTGTTCTAGCATTTCAATCTGCAGCAGGGACAGAGAGAAGGGCTCAGTTAGGGAGGGTGGAGGTAGCATGGATTAGATCAGCACAACCCACCATGGGACCCAGGTTCTGGGTCCCCAGTGCACAAGGTAGTTTTACTGGGAGCCCACATTCAAAGACCCCAGACCAGACATGCCTGATATGCCAAGTCCTTGGCAAAACTCCTAGAGGCAAGATGGAGGATTACACTCAAATTCGTGATGCCCCCTGTGGCAGTGAACAGAGATGTTTGGATGCAAGTCCCATTTAGCTAATTTCTTGATTATTAAAGAACTCTTACATCAGAGATGCATGCTGAAGTATTTATGAGTAAAATACATATCCCGAATTTGTATCCAAATACAGTAAAATGTACTAGCTAGCATGATATTAATATTAATAAGACATTAATAAAGATGGTTGGAGCTTGGTGATGGCTGTATGGGAGTTTATTACACTATTGTTTCTGCCTTGTTGCACAATTAAAAATAATTAAAAATGAAAAATTAAACAATGATGCTTATTAAGATCAATCAATCAAACAAACAAAACTCGCAGCGCCCACTTTGCTGCCCTGGGGTGCTTCTGTTTCCCGGAGAGCACCACCAGCTTGGCGTCTGGGTTGGACCATCTTTGCATGAGCGGTCCTCAGTCCAGATTTGGGCGTGTGGGAAGTGGTCCATAAATGTGAACATAATGAGAGGGACAATGGTCCAAGAGTAAGCTCCCCCACACACACCATGATTCAAATCACCTTTATATCACTAGGAGCTGTGCAGCAAGGGCCAAACTTGGTTAGGGCCCCACCTGAGCAGAGCTCCGGGCATCCCCGTGTTCAGGGTTTTGCCTTGTTCTTCAGCTCTGCCCTTCACCTCTGATCCCCCCCCCCCCCCCCTTACGTTGCTATGGTTCTTGCTTTCTTTACTTTACCGAAACTTCTCAAGAAAGGACTAGGGAGACACCCCTCAACCCAAGTGACTGACCATTTAACCACACCTCTTGGAGGGCTTTGAATTTAACCAAAGGGTCAGGCTAAAACTAAGGTGATCGACTTAATTAGTATTGTAGACTCCTAGGTAAGTCCCTCGAATCCTTTCGGAGTGAATATGTGTACCTTGATTCTGAAATTATGCCCTTCACTTATCCTTGCCCTCCACTTACACCCTATCCTTCTGTAACTAAAAATCTGGATGAGTGGACTGAGAATCACCACAGCACTAACATCCCACATTCCGTGGGAATCCGGATGGGAGAGGAGCACAGGTAGATTTGCTATCCATGAGGCAGATGGAAAGGCAAGTCCATCTCGCAATATAGCATTGTAACCTGCTTCCTGATAGACTCAGCCCACCAAAGGCCATGTCTGAGATGGCTGGTACAGGCTCTAAGCATCAGGAGGAAGCCCTACAGTGCCATCAGATTCATGTGTTACAGGGGAGTCTTCAAGGTGATATGAAAAAGCATATCATATGGATGGGCTTGGAGATGTAGCTCAGTGGCAGAGGCTTGCCTAATTTGTGTAAGGCCATGGGTTTCATCTCCAATGCAGCTTTAAAAAGAATCATACCAAGTATGTTGTCTATCAAATTACCAAAAAATTAGCAGCTTAAAATAACACGTTTATTTCTCAGGTTTTTTACATCAATAGTCTAAACACAGTTCAACTGGGTTTTCTGTGCAGGGCAGTACCTCTGGGGGACTTTCCCACCTGGGGCAAGGCTGCATCTCTGTTCTAAGCCTCAGCGGACATGCTAGAGTTCAGCACCGAGAACCCATGAAGCCATGATTTCTTTTCTGCCTACTATGATGTCTGCAAGAGCCAGAACAGATTCCCCTGGGGCAGTGAGCCAGATTTCTTAGAGGTACATGAGGAGCTATGTAGAGAAACCAAGTAGCTACCCTCCAGCTTTGTGGTAGGCAGAGTTCCAAGATGGTCCCAATGAGTCCTCACTCTGCTGTACTTATCCTATATAATTCTCTCCCTTTGAATTTGAGCTGGCCTAGTTAATGTGATAGACATTATTCCTGTGAGTTTCCAGTATATTAGAAACATAGTTCTGATCAACTGTCAGTTAACAAAAGGGAAATTGTCCTTGTTGTGGAATATTTACCTATGTACAGATGTGTTATATTTATTTGTTTATGCTGTGGAATATTGCTTTAGCTGTGTAAAGGTATGTTACATTTGCTTCTGCTGCATTTTTTTTTTAACTCTGTAAGGATGTGTTACATTTGTTTAATTATGTAAAGATGTGTTGCATTTGTTTCACCTTGCCTGCCTGAGGTACCTGATTGGTCTAATAAAAAGCTGAACAGCCAATAGCTAGGCAGAAGAGGGATAGGCAGGGATGCTTGGCAGAGAGAATAAATAGGAGAGAAGGAAGAGGGAGGAAAGAACTAGAAGAAGAGAAAAGAGAAGAGAACGAGGAAGAAAGAGAGGGACATGCCCAGAGCCAGAACCCAGGTAGCAGACAGACAGACAGACACCGGAGAAAGTAGGAAAGTAAGACATACAGAAAGAAAGGTTAAAAGCCCTGAAGCAAAAGGTAGATAAACAGGTTAATTTAAGTTAAAAGAACTAGCCAGAAATGAGCCTAAGCTAGGCTGAGCATTCATCACTAATAAGAAGCTTCCATATCATGATTTGGGAGCTGGTTGGTGGCCCCAAAGCAAAGGTCTGGTGCACGTCCTGGTGGGTCTGATGCAACTGGGTAAACTTTTTCAGATAAGACAAAACCTAAGGTGGATGATTTCCTGTGTGCCCCAAAGGAAGAAACTGCCATGTTGTGGAGAGTTAGATGAACAACACAGCCTTTACCCCCATTTTTAAAATCCCTTCTGAAGGACCATGATGAACTCACTCAAGGCCCAGACTTTGTATCTCTTTCCCACTGGTCCATTTCTACTTCCTAGAGTAACCGACACCCAAGAGCATCTTGGCAGGTGAAAAGCTTCCATAAGCAACTAAAAGAAGATACAGAAACCCAGTCATTACCTAAGACAGTTCTAAATGGTAAAGGATCTATCTGCTTTGTATGGTATTGTACTGGTTAGTTTTTTTGTTAATTTGACACAACCTTGGGTCATCCGGGAAGATAAAACCTTAATTGAGAAAATGTCTCTATCAGATTGGCCTGTAGGCAAGTATTTAGGTATTAATATTAATTGCATTATTAATAAGTATTAATATTCTTAATTAATGATTGATTTGGGAGGGTCCAGCCCAGTGTGATAGTGCCACACCCCTGAGTAGATGGTCCTGAATTGTGTAAGATAGGAGGCTGAGCAAACCATGAAAAAGAAAGCCAGGAAGCAGCATTCTTCCATGGCCTCTGTTTTCGTTCCTGCCTCTAGGTTCCTGCCTTGGCTTCTCTCAGTGATGGACTGTGACCTCTAAGCCAATGAAACCCCCTTTCCCCAAGTTGTCTTTGGCCATGATGCTTATCACAGCAACAGGAAGCAAACTAGGGTAGTTATCACACTAAGAGGCAGAAGATGGCCAAGATGACCCCAGAAAGGTGCATCTTCAAGCTCAATGTCTATACTGTTTGAAGAAATGAAATTTTAGACTCCTGTTCCTGTCCTACCAAGTTCTTCCTACACTTTAATCCTCTCTGTTCAAATCTGAAGTGTCTCCTAGTGGCTTGTACTTTGAATGCTTGTCCCCCAGCTTGTAGTATTGTGTTTTTTTGGAGGGGGTGGAGAGTGTAGAGCCTTTAAGGAGGTAAGCATCTGCCTGGTGGGAATAGTAAGTAAAGACAGGCTGTAGCCAGCTCTTCCTCCTGCCATGCTCTCTTTTCTGATGAAGTGAACAGCCCCCACCACTTCGAGCTGAGATGCTACACTATGCTTTCTCTGCAACTATGGACCAAACCCTCTCAACCTGTGAACCAAAAAGCATCTTTTTAAAAGTTGTTTCTCTTAGGTATTGTGGTTACAGAAACACAAAACTAACTGGCAAACCAAAAAACACCCTGGTGCTCCAGAAGAGAGCCTTAGGCCTTTGGAACTGGTTTGTAGGAAGAATTTGGAAGAGTTTGGACATACGGGTTTGAGAATCACTAGAATGTTGTCAGCAGAGATGAACCGGTTGAAGCTTGAGAGGCTGGAATGCTGATGTTACCGTGGGTAGTCAAGACTGTGCTCTGGGGATTTCAGATGGGAACAAGGACTCTATTGGGAACTGGGCTACAGCCATTTGGGTACAGCCTGGAAATAGTTTGAATCCTGCCTGTACCCTAAATTTTTTTGGGGGGGAGGGCGTGTTTTGAGCAAGTTTTCTCTGTGTAACAGCTCTGGCTGTCCTGGAATTCACTCTGTAGACCATGCTGGCCTCACAGAGATCTGCCTGCCTCTGCCTTCCCAGTGCTGGGTTACAGGTGTGCCCTACCACTGCCTGGCAGTACCCTAAACTTTTAAGTTAGCCTAAATTAAAAAGTAATGGGAATTTCAAGACAGCATAGCATTCACATTGTTGAGTGCTTGCAGCCAGGTGTGTAGTCACAATCTGGAACAAAAAGCAGTGCTCAGAATAGTAGTTGTGCTGGATGGTTTTATGTCAGTGTTACAAACTAAAGTCATCTGAAAGAAGGGAACCTCGATTAAGAAAATGCCTCCATAAGATTGATTGGGCTATACGCAAGCCTGTAAAGCACTTTTTTTTTTTTTAAATGTAGTGATTGGTGGGGATGGGCAGCCCACAGTGGGTGGTGCCACCCTTAGGCTGGTGGTCCTGGCTTCTATAAGAAAGCAGGCTGAGCAAGCAAAGAGGAGCAAGCCAGTAAGTGGCACCCCTCTGTGGCCGCAGCGCCAGCTCCTACTTCAGGGTTCCTGCCTTATGTGAGTTCCTGCCCTGCCAGCTTTTCATGATGAGCTGTTATATGGAACTATGAGAGAAAAAAAACCCTCTTTACTCCCCAATTTGCTTTGGGTCCTGGTGTTTCATCACAGCTATAGTAACCCCAACTAAGATACATTTAAAGTGGCAAGACCACCTGCTGGA